ATTAAATCCAATAAAATTGTATTAAATCAGGTGCATTAGTATTAAATCCTGAAGAATAGCGTTAACTCATATTAAACCATATAAAGGTTATGAAAAGGTGAATAAAATAATATTAAATCGTATATTATTAAATCAAATCAAATAAAGTCACTAGAAATAGCATTAGATCAAATAAAATCGTATAAAATCGTGTTAGAGTATATAAAATGGTATAGAGGCATATAAAATTATATAGCATCACATAGAAACGTATAGAATATAATGTCATATACAAAAACCATATTAAATCATCAAATAAAATCGTGTAAAATCACATAAAATCGTGGAAAATCACGTGAAAGTATACGGAACAAAATCACGTAAAATCATATAGCACAGTGTTAAATCAGATAATAAAATTCTGTCAGATCTCCACTTACTAGGTCATGTACTTACAGCTGACAGGTTTATGGTCGAGTTTTTCCTTCGTCGGCGGAAACTTACTGAATAATGTTAGTAATAAATATACACATGGGGGATGGTCGGGAATAGCCACTCTTTTATATATTTTTAGTAGCTATAAGAGTAGGGAAAGGATCTTACTCTCGTTCACTTTAGTTCCTTTTAGTTAAGAAATGTTACTGAGCCGTCTTTTCCGACGCTCTTTTCAGCAATCAGGGAAATCACAAATGAATCACGTGGCACCTCTGCGAATATTAGCCCCTGGAACTGAGTCGCATTTCGAGGCTTTTACACCAATTCGCTTCGGCACTCGCGGACTCAAATCACAAATCTGTCAAATCACAAAACTGACTCTACTATATAGTTATAATTTCTCGATTTTCCGTAAACGAAAATTGAGGGAATGCCACCCGAGGTCCGCGAATATTAGCCCCTGGAACTGAGTCGCATTTCGAGGCTTCTACGCCAATTCGCTTCCCTCTCTTTCTCAGGCACTTCCTCAATCTCAATTATTCACTTAAAATTCTTTATTTCAACTCGCGTAATTAATTTTTAATCCTACTAATTGTGTCAAACTTTCTGATTAGTCTGAAGAATAGAAAGAGTTTAGATGCCTTTCTTAACGCTGACAGATCAAAATGGATTATAAATATCAGCGACAAGCAAATTCCGGTTGAAATAAAGAACTTCTTGAGTCTAGGCGAAGGTTTCGGCCTGCCAATCAGTCAAACTCAAAAAAGAGATCGTGAGTGCTCGACTCTTGAAATAATTAAAAGTTTCGAAGTTAATTGCTACAAAATACCAGATGAGATGATCGAGTCCACTAGATCGTCGTTGGCAAGCTCATTACACACTTTTTTGAACCGTAGCACACACATGAATTTCATGGACAAATATTTTCTCAAAGAGTTTGACAGATGCAGGAAGTTTTTACGTGACAACGATGATGTCTTCGTAACAAGAGCTGATAAGGGACAAGTCACTGTCATTATGGACAGAGACGACTACAACAAACGTATGACAGAAATGCTTAACGACCAATCAACTTACAAACAAGTTAAAAAAGATCCGACTAAATTATTAACTTCTAAACTTAATTCTCTCATTAAAACATGGCGTAACGAAGACATCATCGACAATCAGGATTATTGGAGACTAAATTGTACGAACGGAAATCTTCCCAGATGTTACGGGCTGCCAAAGATTCATAAAGCTGGTTTTCCACTACGCGTGATAGTCTCATCGATTGGTAGCCCACTATATGGTTTAGCGTGCTTTATACATGACATCCTCCAACAATCTATTAAAAAACCGTGTTCTCACATAAAAGATAGTTGGACTCTAGCGAATATTATTAAGGGCAAAAAAATCAACACCAATGACATCCTTATCTCACTTGACGTCACAGCTCTCTTCACTAATATCCCGCGTGAACTCGTACTTGAGGGCATGAAAAAGAGATGGAATGAGATAAGAAAGAAAACCAGACTTAATCTTGCTCAGTTTTTACACGCTGTTACATTTGTATTAGAATCAACAAGCTTTCAATTTAACAACACTTTCTATGAACAAATCTATGGCAGCCCCATGGGATCACCACTCTCTCCGATTTTAGCAGATATTGTTATGGAGGACCTTGAGACCCATTGTTTGCAACAGCTCGTCTTTGAAATTCATACTTTTTATAGATATGTAGACGACATATTCGCCATAGTGCCGGAAAGGAAAATTGAACAGATCTTGAATATTTTTAATAATTACCACCCTAGATTAAAATTTACATACGAACTAGAAAATAATGGTTCAATTCCTTTCCTGGACACAGTAATAATCAGGAACAACGACGAGCTGTTGACAAATTGGTACAGAAAGCTACTTTCTCAGGAAGATATATTAATTATCTGTCTAACCACCCACAAAAATATAAGTTAAACACGATAAAGAGCTTGGTGGACAGGGCAATCTTGTTAGCTGATGAACGGTTCCATGAAACTAATATAAAAATAGTACAGAATATCCTTTTAAATAACTGCTTCCCAAACGACATAATAGATAAACACATCAAAGCACGGATAAAAGAATTGAATCATAGGAAACTTTCAAAGAATTGCCCTGTCCAAAAAACTAAACAAAATTTTGAGATTCGTGACTTTATACCACTTCCATTCCTGAAAAGGACAGGCCGAGGTATAAGTCGCATTCTGAGAAGGTGTGGTCTCGGGGTCCTCCATACAATACCGAAAAAATTAAACCAATTAATTAAGAGGGGTAAAGACAAGCTGAGTATCGACAGAATAACTGAAGTAGTATATGAGATAGATTGTAATAACTGTGATGCATGCTACATAGGACAAACAAAAAGACACCTCCGAACAAGAATTGACGAACACTGTAATGACATTAAGAAACATGAAAATAATTTATCGGTTGTGAGTAGACACCGTCTAGATCACGATCATGACTTCAACTGGTTAGAACCTAAAATATTACACAACGAAAAACATAAAATTAAACGGGAGGTTGCCGAAATGATTTTTATCAAAAAACACAAAAATACAATCAATTTAAAACGTGACACGGAAAACTTAAATCCTATATATAATAAAGTCCTTGAAAATATTTGACTTTTTCTTTGTTCCAACAGATTTTTAGAATTTTAATGTACATGACAAGCTTATTCCTATTTATTTATC